ATGGATGGATGGATGGATGGATGGATGGATGGATGGATGGATGGATGGATGGATGTTGGCTACTTTTGTACCAATTTTCAGCTTTATGTGTTTAAAAGTGGCTGAAATATTTCTCTTTCTGTAATTATTATTACCTTCAAATTAGGATTAGCTTTCCGAATATCACGAGGATTGCTCCAAATTTCAGTTCAATATTTATAGAAATAACTTTGTTATAGCCATTTGAAATTAGCGGCAGCCATCTTGAATATTGTATTTGCAATAAGATTTTGTTTTAGATTACTCTCGGCTACTAGTACTAACAAACTTTCAGCTACATATGTTTAAAAATGGCTTTTTGTAAAATTAGCATTAGCGGGGCTAGCAATCGGCATGCCATCATTCTTAGCTAAACCACAACAAATTTCAGCTCAATAAGTCTTAAAATGTTTGACTTATATGAAGATAGCTGTTGCAGCCGACAAGAAATTATGAATCCACAGTAGTTTTCTTTAACGGTATGTGCCCCCCTAAAAAAAACACTACGGTCACCCCTTGCAAAAAAGTCTAGCTCCGCCCCTGTTCTGAAGGCTCAAAGGATGTCAGTCAGGCGGCGTCGTACCTGCCGGTCATCAGCTGGCTGCGTGACGGAGTACAGATGGGCTGGACATAGTAATTTTCCAGGATGACGCCCTCCGCCGCCAGTTTGTCCAGAGTGGGGGTCTTGATGGTGGGGTTATGGTAACCRATGTCGTTGAAGCCCTGAAACAGAAACAGAGGCAGCACAAAGGTCAACGTTGGGACCCCGGATTAGCCTTTTTGTTTGCTAACTTTAGAAACCGTTAGCTTTCGATAAATTAGGTTCTGGTAAAGAAAAACGTGTAAAACTTCTACTTTTATGCTGTTTATCCCTAAATAAAAACTATCCCTTCTTACAAGCAGTGCTGGACGTGTCAGGTACCGTGTGTAGCATATAGCATCTTCAGAAGCTAACCGTTCAAGCTAAGAAAGTCAAAAAGAAATAAAATAACATTTAATAATATTTAAATAACTACTGTAATACAAAAATGGACTACGTGTAAACTATGGTAGAGAAAGTATTTGCTAACTTCAAACTGTATTTATAAAAATACAAACTTGATCTGGAAATGCTTTTATTCTGAAAGGGGTRAACTAATTGGATTGGCTGATTAGCCACAGATGATCCCGCCCACCTTCAAATTAACCAGTTTGCTCAGTCCAACCAGTCGTTTTAGCAGTTAGCATTAGCTTCCACTGAGTTTTTATCTGTTTAGCGTCAGCAGAGCTAAGATTCTTGTTTAGTGAATTTGTGAAGCTAACTTTTTAGCTAGCTGGCACCGTGTATCGTGTGATTAKCATGTGTGAAGAATAAACTGGGCTCCACTCACCTGGTCATCAATCAGAATAAATATGATGTGCGGCTGCCTCCTCTTCCGTCCTGCGTCACCGCTTCCAAGGGTTTGATCTTTTTGCTGCCCGATCAGGTGGGCTGACAGGAAGTCCAGGCTGAAGGCAGTCAGCGCCGCCAGTACTGCGCAGGCGACCCTCATCGTTATCGACGCGACTCCTGCAGGAACCAAAAAAACAAAAAAACATCCTGCTTCATAAACAAGAAGAGGAGGTGCAGCTCAGAAACGCCATCGCTGCAGGGACTGGGTGCAGATAATAAAACCATGTTTGAGACGAACTCGCCAAGTTGGCGGCAGCTGTGATTTAAATGCATCCATCTGGCGGAGCGAGAGCTGAAAGCTCAGAGGAGGCCTCCGTCTTACGATTGTTGGGACTGAAACACCAATAAAATGTGATGAAAATATTAGCTGTGACTGAGGGAGCAGCGGCGGGGGAGTCTGAGTGTAGAGAGAGGAATTCAAAGAAATATATTTGATCGTTTTGTTTTTTACAGAACAGGAATGAGAGGAGAGGACAAGGTGTAGTTATAACTATTCTTTGGTAAAACACCAATAAAAGGGTTTTATGGGGAAAAATAAAGTCCAACATCTTTCATTTCCAGCGTTTTATGTGTCTGAATGTAATTAAATGGTTTTAACAGGTTCTAAATGTGTTTAAATCTAAACTTACGTCAACAACAAAAATAAAAAAACAACAACTCAGATTCAAACRTGTCAAAAATGATTTATGAAACCAAAACTTGAGTCCTTCCTCTGGTCCAGCAGAGCCTCCTTCAGCAGCTGTAACTCTCCGTAGTGAGTTTCTGTCTGACTTTATTACACTTTAAATGGTTCTGAAGGAATTTTGGACGAGTTTTTAGAATATTTTAGGACACAGAGAAGTTCATGGTCGACTCTAAAATCCTGAACTGAAACTGAGCTGTAAACGCTGAAAGAAACAGAGCACTAGCTAAAAGACACAAAGCACCAATCCCTCGCAAAAACATGAACGTAGCAAATAGCATGATTAGCATTAAAAAGCTAACTTCAAGCTTAAAGTAGCAAAAGGCTGATTAAACATAAAGGAAACAAAAGATTAGCTTAAAAGTAAAAGCTAAATGTAACAAAACTAAAACATACCTAAAAGCTAAATAGAAGCTACAAAGTAGCAAATAGCCAACTAAAAGCTAATAATTAAAAAAGGCTAACTAAATGCTAAATGTAGCAACAACAAAGTTTACAAAGATGTACCTAACAGCTGGAAAGGTGTTAGCAAGAAGCTACAAGTAACAAAAGGCTAACTATAAGCAAAATGTGGCAAAAACTAAAAGTTAAAAAAAACTAATCCCTAAAAGCTTAAAATGAGAAAAAAGTTCAGGTAGCAAAAATGCTARCAGAAAGCTACATACAGAAAAAAGCTACACAGCTAGCTAGAAGCTAAAACAAGCAAAAGGCTATGTGGAAAGTAGCAAAACAGCTAATGGATGAGGCTAATTAAAAGCTCAAAGTAATGAAATACTAGTTACAAGCCACAAAAGGCTAGTTAAAAGCTAAAAGTATTAACATAGTAGCTAAAGCAGCAAAAGGCTAGTTAAAAGCTAAAAGTATCAATAGATTAGCTAAAAGCTAAATCAGCAAAAGACTAGCTTGAAGCTAAACAAAAAAACAAACAGAACCATGTTGCTGAAGCTTCTTTGCTGACGTTGTGTTCATGTGTGCGGCTAATAAAAACGTGTAAAACTATGTTTCTGTGTTGTTGGCTGTAAACTGACACCATGARGGTCTTCCTGGGTTTGTTAGGACGTGTTTTTGTTAAGAGTGATGTCATTAAARCGTGACTCTGACATGTTTGACCATCAGTCTCTCTAAGATCTGTTTCATCATTTTATTTTGATAACAAATAATTATTTTCATCATATTTCATCATCTCTGAGCTAGAAATGTCTGGAAATCTGGGCGCCTTTTCATTAAAATAAGAATATTCAAACCAACGTGTGGCTTCTAAGCTTTCGGCCGACCACAGGTTTCTGGGCTCCGGCTGGCAGAAGAGCAGCCTCGACTCGGCCTCGGACCTTTGTAGAAACGATGGAAGACGGTGAGTATTTTGTGATTTTATTTCACTTATTTTCACGTTTCTGTGTTGTCGCCACGACGAGTCCAGTCGTGTGTTGTGTTAACACACACCTGTATGCTCCAACTGACAAACATCCTGCTGTTGTGTGTTTTCTATATATTTTAATTTATTTTTAAACCTGGTACTGACCTGGGACTTTCCATATTGAGGATTTTTTAAAGTAAAGGTTAAATAAAATCTGATTAAATAAAATAAATACTAAAAAGAACAGGCTTCAAACCTCATAATCTGGTTCAAACTGGTTCGTATTTATGATGAGTAAAATGTGAAAAGCATCATTAAATGTGTCACTGTTTAACTCTGAGAGGAAACCTGCAGCTCGTTATAAAGTAAAGAGAAAAACCATGTGAATAATGTGACGTGTTTCGACTTGTTTAAAGAACAGAGCAGGAAGGATGTTGATTTTATACAAACATGATGAAGAGCAGCTGCCTCAGTCTGAAGACCATACTGAACACACACACACACACATCCTTGTATTTGCATCAAACTGAGGACTTTGTATTGACTTCCATTCATTTTATTTTTATTGTATTTATGCGTAACCCAGACATTTCCCCTAAAACTAACCATTACTGGTCTATAGTTAACACTAACCTGAACTAAAACTTAATTCACACCAAACCTTTAAACCTAACTAGTGAAGCCCAGCAGAGCTGCAAAGTAGAGGTCCTCACTTTACATCAAAGACCTCATTTTGATAGTAACTATGGTGCAAATAGTCCTCACTATAGTAGAAACACACACACACACACACACACACACACACACACACACACACACACTTGATTACAGGACAT